GGCGGTTTAGGGAGGGCACAAGAAAAGCAGTGAACTCTGACATCACAGCAATCTATTACTCAGCTTAACCATTTCTCCCTGTGCTGCCTCCAAATTGCATTTCTGCCTCTATGTTTTTTTTTGTTTTTTTTTTCCGACCTGCAGCATGTGTCGGGCAGTCGTGTCGATGGGTTTCCCACTGATTGGTTTCCCAGACTGAAGTGAGGTGTGATGTATTTCTAAGCCCAAATGGAGCTCAAGGCTGCATGTAAAATCAGCATGCAGCACGCTTTGTGAAGCTATGGATGAGAAGAGCATTAGAGTGAGCGAGAGGGAGGGAGGGAGGGAAACCCCACAAAAAAAAATGGCACTCCAGGGATCTTATGTTATTCGGTGCAGCAGCTCTGATTAGAAGGAATACAGAAACTCAGGGCTATCAGCAGCTTTAATCTGCATGTAATCTGCCTGCTAAAAGATCATTTTCATGTCTTAAAGGAAGGTAAACATACATCCCAAACGCCATAGATGTAAAAAAATGAATGTGCAAACACGCTTAAATTTAGTAATTTAACAGTTTGGCATCACAAAGCAAATAGAGCATTAATAGAAACTGTGGTTCAATATGCATTCAACATAACTTACATTAAGACAAAATATAGAACTAACTAATTCATCCCATTATAAGAACAAACAAATGGTTTGTATTGAGAAACCAACAAAAGAAGCTAATCTATATGCTAATCTTCTATGCTGACCAGAGAACCCGTTTGTTAGCCAGGAGCAGGAGAGATGGTTGTGCAAATATGCACAAACTGGGTTTGCGTCATAAATCTCCATTACAGAGAAACCAAAAAAAAAATATGAAAAAAAGTTCCTTCGTTATATATCTGCTTAGAAACATAAATAACTTTAATTATCCTTTCAACAATGTTGTTGGCATATTGCAGCATCAGGAGACCACATGTTTCTTGTGAGCAAAACATTTTAAATAGTTTCTTTTCATATTGTGACGATGTTGAATAAACTAAATATTTGATGAGAAACATTGTGGGTTTAACCACATTTATAAAACAACCTGCTCAGCAGGTGAAAATGGTAAACAGATCATATTTTACCAAGCGGCACCTTTACACATTCAAATGTGATATTGATTTTAACTGTCTGTAAGATCCACAAAGAAACAATGGTCCAATTTATTGGCATTATTTATTGTATAAAAAGCACAAATTTAAGGCCAATCATCCCTTTATGTTCACATTTAACACCAAATTAAACTGTTTTGACAGAAATATATTTAATGTGTGTTTAAATGTACATAATAGAGAAAAGTGTGTAACCTAGTGACTACAATGCATTTATCCATGTGTTGGATTTCAATCAAACCACCAATTAAAACAATATAAATAAGACTTTAAACAATTTTAGAAATTGAAATGTATAGATTAAAAATCCCTGTTTTTTGTGTCCATAGGAATGTTTAGAGCAATAACTCATCACGGCACAAGTTTATAAAAAGTATGCATTTCTTTTTTAGCATTATTAAACCACCATCTAGGAGCACTCAAATTCAAGGTTGCTTTTTGTCTTGGAAAGATTGTGCAACTTCAATAAAATGTTAAATAATATTAAACCTATAATAATAGAAAATTTGCAGTGGGAGCTAAGGCAATAAGCAAAATGGACGGACGGACGGATCCAACATTTATTGGTCTGTACATGTCAAGTATTCTTCATCTATACTTTAACAAATTTTTCAGCTTCTGGTCTACAAAATGATCCCATTATGGAGCAAAGACCAAAACAATCTGTTCGATATACAAATATTTCTACTATATCAATTAACCTTTGGTATAGCAATAATACACACAGCATCAACAACCAATATATTAGGTTTAGTCTTTTTCGAAGTAACCATTTTTATTTCAAACAAGTAAAACAAAAACAACATTTTAACCAATCTGTATTTTTACTTTTGTTTGTCTTTATGGTGAGGATTTCAGGACCCAACTTTTGAAATCAATGCTCTAAATAGTTTATGCTGCAAGCAAGATGAATTGTCACGGGATTGGTAAATTCAACAAACCCCGAAAAATGCATTTTGCCAGAAGCCAACAGATGCGTTGGCCTTAAATACAGAATTTTTTTGAACCAATGAAATGACGTGTATGACATCAACAAGGAATGCCAGGCTGGAGCAAAGCAAACATGGCTAAATAGGTGGTACTACCTGTAGCAAAAGAAGGGATTTGTACTTTTGTGGAAGGGAAAGATGTTTGGGTATTCCTCACGACCCGATTAGGTAAGAGTTTGCTTTATCAGTCAACTCAGCTACTAGTGAAACCAATCAACTATGTTATTTCAAAGCTGTTAAATGTGCCACTTGGTGATTTACCCAATCAGCTCCAAGAATTAAACTGGATGTCCCTCCCTTTTTCACAGATGGATACTGTGTACAATTTTAATTGAATCATACGTATCAATCTGATGAAAGCCAAGTAACTAAATAAAGGTTTTATGTACCGTAATTCTTTTTTTTTTTTCTTCTACAGCAACTCAAATTCTTAAAAGTAGAAATGACTTCTGACCTGACAGACAGCTCCATAGCCCGGGATACCTGCCGACACATCAGTCTGACAGGATGAGCTATAGCCTGAAACATCTGCTCTGATATTGCATCTATAGCTGTCAGTGTATGTGCACACATTTCCGTGCACAAGGGGGTCTATTCTCAGTTGCCTCATTTTGGAGATGCAGCCCTCTAATGCTGTGTGACTGCACTCCCCAGGGGTTTCTATTCGCTCCACTGCCTGAGCCCTGCTTCCTGCGTGTAGAGAAATTAGGGAATCCCTGCATTCGCTGGCTTTCAGTGCTGCTTTATTCATCCATTTGTTCCCCCTCCTCCTGCCTGCAGCCTGAGTGCTGTGCAAAGGCTCAGTTATCATTAGGGAGGCATTCCTGGGACAATGATGAAAACATCCTCAGCAGATACGGAATCTTTTTTCTTTATGGAAGCCAAATAAACCAATTTGGAGGAGTGCCACTGTGACAAATTACACTATATCTTCAAACGAACTCTGGCTCCTTGCTTGTAAAATTCACTGCAGTATAAATTAGCGGAGATAATTTTCCCAGCTGAACAAGAACACAAGCCTTTACACTCAATTTAAAAACACAGACAGAAGAGTTAGAAAGTAGGAATATTCTTAAACCTCTTCACATTCTATCACAGTTCCTCTTAATGTGTGTATATTTGTATAAAGTGAATTAGAACTTTAAAGGGTTTCAGTTTTTTTTATATATATATATATACATGTTTAATTAATGTGTGCAGTGCATCTGTCTTTAGGCTCTTTACATTAGATCCCATGAAATAACATCCAGTGCAAACAATTCACCCAACTAAATTAAATAAAGCTCTTCAATGTGGATGTTAATATCAGCCTCAGATGTTTTAGAGAACCTTCAGAAGCAACCACTGTCATGAAGACCAAGGAACACATCAGATTTATCCCAGATTAGGGCTTGGACACATTTAAAGCAGGACAATCTTTTAAAAGAAAATTCAAAATCTTAAGACTCCTGATCTACTTGCAAAATGCCAAATGGGACAAAAAACTCACACTTGACTTCAATTTGACTACATCCTCCAAACAAGCTGCAAGTGAAAACCAGTTAAGGGAGCAAATTACTTCAGACTGGGAAAGATATATTGAAGCACATGCAGGGATTAGAAATGTTCCATTCAAAGTCCAAACCTGATTTAGAATCAGTGGCACACGCTGAAAACCTCAGTTTATTGAAGCTCTTCATCTAATCTGACTGAGCCTAAACTATAAGTACCCGCACTTTGCTTACTGCAATCACAGGTTCTCTGTAGCTACCGTCTCATTGTAAGTAGCCACTTAGGCCAGCAGTCAAATACATCTGACAAGGGTGAGAGCTGTTTGGAAAAGCTGGATGTGTCTTTGTAAAGGTTTTACATCACTATACTCAAACTGGCGACAGATTAACACTCAATGCAAAAAGGCTGAATATAACAAATGCCCAAATCATCCACAAACCTTTTATCCTCAATTGGGAAAGGCGCTTGACCCAATGCAATCTCATTTTTATTTTTTTAGTCAAAAGATGGTGAGGATTAGGTAAGAGTTTATTATTTTTATTTTTATTTTTTTTTTTTCAGAAAACTTCAATAGTTTCTCTGCCTTTGCTCGGTTGTTAAAAATACTGAATCCCTCCTGCCTTTCAGATTGGATGAAACTCTGGATGTTTTTATTACACACAAAGTATAAACAAAACATTCATGTTCTGATCTGAAGTTAATTCAGATCAGATCAGTTAATTATCAAGACCACAGATTTCATACAAGCCAGTATTCCTTAACTCAACACCTTTATCTCCCGTTGCACATAACATGATCTTCTATGCTGAACCAAAAACCTATGAACTGGAACCAGGTCTTGATCAGGTCATCCAGAGTGCACTGAGCATTGTGTCATATAACCCTGCAGCACGTACATGCAACCTTTTCCAGAAACATCATTTACCCCTGAGGACAGCCGGGACATTTGGAGAATCCATGAACAAGGTCAGCATTTAACAAGCAGCTGTTAAAGAGGCTCAGACCCACTTGATTTATTTGAGCTAAGCTCCTCTCCATCTCATTGCATGTTAGGTTAGAAGTTAAAGAGCTACAGATGCATATTTTATTCATGCAATGGTTGGTTTGTTGTCAGAACCAGTGGAGGCGACTGAAAGCAGCTTTCCTGCTGCATTGCACCTGCTTAAACGCGCCTAACTTTGCAGGGGAAGTGGGCTGTCTGCTCCCAGGGATGTGTTCCCGGTCCGCCGAGGTCGTGATGATGGGCGGAAAGCAGCACCCTCCCAGTCTTTCCTTCCCTGCCCAAAACAAGAAATGACTAAAAAAAAAAAAAACTAAAATAAACCAGGAACTGCAAAGCGGCGTGTGAGCAAATCAAATACAGCTGTTTTCCTTCCTGACTTGTAGAGTGGAGTCTTACCTGGAGGCGGCGGAGATAAGCGGGGCAGGTTAGGATGTCGGTCCGGGGATCACGGTTGGTTTGTCCGCCTGTCGGTGCGCCTCAGCACCGTCTGAAGCCAGAGCTCCACAGCCAGGGTGTTCCCGACAGGAGGGGGCGTGGCGAGCGTGGATCGTGCATGTTTGCGTGCACGCGGGGGACACGCACAAAACCCCCCAAAGATATCTCTCTCTCTCTTTTTTTTTTTTTTGCCAATGCGACATTTTTATTCCCATATTTATAGACTTTATAAATCTCATTCTGGGCAGCATATCAATGTTTAGGGAAACTCCCCACAGGGGCGCCTCCAGAAATGTTTCATAGGGGTGGCCAGATATCTGGGGCCTCTGAAAAGAAAAGAAAAAATCATCCCTCTTTTTAAATTACCATCCCCCCATATCATCTCCTAAATGTGTAAAATTTCTACTATATATTAATAGTAATGGCAATAATATTGCCCTTTCAATATTTGGCGGGCTGTGGGCTTACGAGTAGCCTGAGCAAAATTAATAAAATCAAAGAAGTTGCCTACCATGAATATGAAGCTGATCCCAGTGGGAAATTTGTCCTGTATTTGTCCCTAACTATGGGGACAGTGATAGCCATGCCAGTCCAGGAACTGACTGCAGTTCTACTGTAAGGTGCCTTGGTCACTGTAAACCTGACATGTAACAACCAAAAAAAAAAAAAAAAACATGTTTCTTTAGGTTAATAGACTATATTAATTAGGCTATGTATGCCTTTCTTTTTTATTTTTTATTTTATTTTATTTTATTTTTTCAATTAGACTACTTTAAATAGAAATAGAAACAGGAAAAAATAGTGCAATTTTTATATATAGAAACCATTGCATATTATTAAACAAATACTGGTTATGTAATTGGACAGCAGAGTGAGGGGGGACTAGTTTAAACTTCTCTAAGAAAAACTTATTTTTGCAAAAGTGTCTGATAGAGAGTGCACTGGCCTCAGAGGTGAAAAACCTTCCAGATATCCTAAACCACAGATGACCTAATTTACTCACTTACCTCTCTAAAAATGTGATCTGTGTTTTACCAAATCTTTGTGTAGCTCTGAGTATGGAGAGCATTCTCCCTGTGAATGTTTATCTGCAGTGCAGAGCTTTTCCAAGCTAAAATGCATTAATATGATTATTAATAACAAGAAAGTTGTTTGGCAGATCATTTAAAGTGATGTCATCAATGACTTAGCATAAAGAAAAACTGGAATAAAAGTGTATCATAAAAATATAATGTATGGGTAAACGTAAATTATGTTATTACACACAGTTATTGCAAAAAATAACATAGTTTTAGAAGCTAATTATATAACTTTAAATTTTAGGTAACTGTTTACTGCAATTATTCAAAAGCAGGATCACATTTAACTTTTTATTTGATTTAATTATACCTGTTTTTGTAGATTTTAATATTTTTTTTTTATAAAGGCTGTTTTATTTATTACTGTTATTTATGAACATTGCAGTTGCAGTCAAAAGAAAAATGTAAAAGTCACCTTACTCTTTTGAATGTGGGCTTAAGCCCACACTATTTGTTATAAATACAAAAAAAGCAACAACAAAAAAAAAACACTCTCAGTGTAGTATTTTGATTTTGATGATTACATGCTTTTCATTAAATCTTAAACAAGCAATACTACCCAAACATTTACTACTTAAGGATCTGTTTCCTGGTGTGGACAGGAAGCAGTGAGGATCTCCTGGGCTCAGTGCTAAACTTCCTTCACAGCTTGGCGGTGCTGAGTGAGACAGAGGCTGAACACACCCTGCTTATTGCCACAGCTCTGCTCTGCTCAGGTCAGGTATCTCCAATTGGTAAACATTTTAACCAGGGGCTGTTTAACAAGTTATAGAACAAAGAATCTAATTGTCTTAGATAGCTTTCTTTAAATAAAGTTAGTTTCCCGTATAAACTAAAAGGACTTAAAGCGAATATTTAAGTGAAGGTTTCTATCAGCTTTGCACATCTAGAGCTCTTTAATTACCATAACAGATCAATCAGAATGAAAGGACACTACCTTCAGAAGTGAAATTAAGATTTTTATTTATTTATTTTTTTTTTTACAGATTTTTTTAGGTCTGGATTTTGACTGGGCCATTCTATCAAATTAATAGGTTTTGATTCTAATAGATTCTAGCTCGTTCTTTATGCTTAGATTAGTCCTGCTTGAGGCGGAACTTCTGAATCAGACTGAAGTCTTTTGTGGCCTTTAACAGATTTTCTTCTAGGACTACTCTGTATGTAGTTTAGTCCATCTTCGCTTTAACCCCTTTAGCTTCCCAGTTGATGGAAAGCATTCCCATAGCATGATGCTGCCATCATGCATGTTTCCTGGATGGCACCGCCTTTTACAGTTGCCTTTTGTGTTGCACTTCTGAGGATGGGCCAACTCTTCTCCGGTGCAGCACATTTATTTTTGCAGAAACCAGGTTTCTCAGGGCCCAGGTTGGAGCAGCAGCGAGACGAGGGCCACAGTGTTTCGGCTGCCTGCTGTGCAGACTGACGAAGCTACGCACCCTCCATCATAACTACCTCCCCCTGACAGGGCAGCAGCCAGCACACTGATGAAGAGGAGATT